TTTGTTGAGGAACAGAAGAAATCCATTAATGAAGCAATGCTTGTATCGAAGGGCTTGTAATGAGGGCTTGCTTGCACTTTCATGGATACATATACATTTATTTATCTCTATTTGGTCTTGAACCTCTAGCTGGTAGGATCTTAGGGGGGCTTATAAAATACTACCAGCTAGAGGTACAGCTTGCATACTTAGTAGACTTTGCCCAATTTTTATAATGGTTTGTCCACATTTTACTTTTCTGTATTCCAAGTTGTAGTCTCACACTCTTTGGAATCACTTTTTACATGAGTTCATTTACATTTATTTTTCTATTTGGTCTTGTACATCTAGCTGGTAGCTCAGAAAATACAAGAGGGTAGAGGCACATTTAGTTGCCTTTGCCCGATTTTTAATATGGTTTGTTTCAAATTTTACTTTTCTACACTCCAAATTAGTCTTAAATCCCTTTGAATCACTTTTTTCCACAATGAGTATGATTTGATATATTTTTATTTGGTCTTGTACCTCTAGCTGGTAGGATCTTAGGAGGCCGAGGAAACACCACCGGCTAGAGGTACAGCTTGCATACTTATGTATAACATACATACTTTGCCAGATTCTTATTATGGTTTGCTCCAATTTTACTTTGCTACACTCCAAGTTGTAGCCTTACACTCTGTGGAATTATTTTTTTTGGTAAGAATACATTTGAATTTTTTTCTGTTATTTGGTCTTGTACTTTAGCTAGTAGGATCTCAGGAGGCTAAGAAACAACTAGCAGCTAGAGGTAAAGCTTGCATATTTAGTCAACTATGCCCAATTTTTATTGCAGTTTGCTCATTTTACTTTTCTGCACTTCAAATTAGTCTTACACTCCTTGGAATCTTATTTTATATATAACCTCTAGCTAGTAGGAACTTAGGAGTTTCACAAATTACTTCTAGTACAGCTTGCATATCTAATTGACTTTGCCAATTGTTTTTACAGTCTGCTTTGCGTTTTACTTTTTGGCATTCCATTTTAGTCTGATACTACATTGGAAGCATCTTTTTTTTCAGGAATATCTTTTTGCACCTTGGTCATGTACCTACCACTGCTTATTTAATAGCACAGCACTTAAACTGTGTGCATCAAATGACTCTTTATGGGGAATCAGCTGAAATTAAAGCAAGCATTATTTGGCAATAAGCAAAGGGTCTCTGGTTAGTTTTCATAGCAATTTTTATTTCAAAATACAATAAATAACACAGGCACAGGTTAATCTCATTTAGATAATTGTATAAATTCTGTCTATATATATACATATATATATATATATATATATATGAGATGAGTCATTGCTGCTAGCATTATGCATGCTCACTAGGTTTTCTAGTTTGAGC